CATTTTATAATATTTTTTCTGAATTCCTTCTCAGACATTTTCAAGACCTGCCCTCCTTCCAGGTCTGCCTCTAGGTCATTTGTCTCAGACATTTTATCTTGTTTCTGGACATGTGCTGATATGGTCATCTGTTTTTTCTTCTTGGACATGTTTAGTGTTTATCTGTGGCCTTAATACTTAATTGAGTATGTGCTTTGGTATTTTTTTATGCTTATTGTGACCCTGTATAGGGTTTCCAAGGAGCAGCTGGTAGGTTTGAAATGCCGACTTTGTAGTTCAAAGTCCAGTGCTGATGATAAGCACTAGAAGTCATATATATTTGGTATATATATGTATATATATAAACAATCAAACAAATCCATTGTCATCAGTCAATCCTGACTCATAACAACCCTGTATAGGACCCCATGGCTTTAAATCTCTACGAGAGTAGCAAGCCTCATCTTTCTCCCTTGGAGTAGATGGTGGATTTGAACTGCTGACCTTGAGATTGATAGTCCAGTGCTTATCTTACAGTCAGTCCCATCAGTCTCCTTACACTGAGACAAGTTTCAGGCAAACGTGGGCTAGGCAGTTTTCAGCACGTTTGAAAGCAGATTACAACTGCTGGGCCCACTCAGGGAGGAGCCTTTGGATCTCGGGTTTGTGTGGATTGCTGTGGAACTTTCCTGGGCGTGCCCTTAATGATTTCCCATAAAGAACTGCACAGTCTGTGTTGTTAAGTGCTGTCAAGTCAGTTCTGACTCACAGGGACCCTGTTTCTGAGGAGCGGCTGGTAGGTTTGAACTGCTGACCTTGCGACTCAAACCTACTTTGCGGCCCAGTGCTTATGGTGTTCTGTGGTCAAAGTTAAAAGTTGGGGTTCTTGTGACTCCACCTCAGAGCTGCATGCTTATGCGTTGTCCTCCATCCACCATGAGACCCCAGGACCAATCCTATAAGCCTTTTTTATTTTCAGCAAAATAATTTTATTTCTTAACACACGGTATACATATACATCCAATATGTCCTTATCTTGCACACATATTCACAAATGACTACCTAATTTTCCAAATGACAACATCTTGGTATGTAATAAGCAGATACTGTTATTTTAGGTCAATTATGAAGAAATGCTTCTATGGAAAACATTCTGAAAGGGTTACAGCTGAATTTCTTTATATTAGTTCTATAAATTTGAAAGTTTGAAAAGCTACTACTTCCGCATCTAATACTTGCAGATGAAAGAATGCAGCAATGCTAACTTGTATCGGGAGAAATCCTGCTCATTTTTCTGGTGACGAAGCCATCAACCTACATCTGCTGGGACTGGGCAGGCAGATTCACAGGGTGGCAGCTTTGGCAGCATCAGGGGCTCTCGGACAGTTGTGTCCATGCAACTGAATCCTTTCCCTTCGATTTTCTTGCTCACCACTGTTGTGTAGTGGTCATGGGTGCTTCCAGCAATATCGATTGCAAACACCTTATCTTTAAATTCTGCATTGAAAGCTGGTTCTCTGGTTTTCCATCAGGAACCTTGTACCTTCTAAACTAGTCCACAGTAGCTTCTGGGTCTCCAGGCTTCAGTCGTTTGACATCATTAATACCGTTGTAACTGCCTTGATTATCTTCACACGGATGATTTCAGCCCGGGTGTTCCTGAGTCTGAGGGATGGCTCCATCCTTCTAGATGTGTCCTTTATAAGGGAATGCATTTGTGACATAATGGAGCTTTCCTTTTTTCACATCTTGTGTAAAGGAACCTTTGTACCAATCTCCATTTTTGCATTAGACCATCGTAGAACTTCAGATACTGTGTGGAGCACGTCCTCATCTGCATAAATCAGAATGTCACAAAATGGAGATATGTATTGTCCTTCTTCATATCTGAGGAAGTCTCGGTACTCGGGGGTGGAGGGCGCGGCACAATCCTCGCTGCTGAAGCCTCTCGTGGTGCCAGACATGAGCCGCCACCACTGCTAGGTCCACTGACACGGAGAGCCCTGTAAGCCCTTAAAATCTGAAGTTGTGTGCATATCCTGGTGGTGCTGTTGGATAAGCACTGCATTGCTAGCTGCAAGGTCGGCTGTTCAAACCCACCAGCTGCTCTGTGGGAGAAAGATGAGGCTTTCAGCTCCCATAAAGATCTACAGCCTCGGAAACCCTGTGCACCCACTGGGTGGTAGTGGGTGGATAGTCCCACCTCTGACAGTGATGGCTTTTAACCCCCACCATTCATGGCTTTTTGTTGATTTCTTTTATTCTTTATGGTATTTTTAGAAACCATGCCTGTCTATCGTGAGAAATCCATCAGCTTCATGCTGATGGTTGGTTTCATTCATCGGGATGTTTTGTCTTGGTCCCACTTAAGGCTTAATAAAAGGGTGGTGCAAAGAGTTAATACACTGGACTGCAAAGTCTACTTGAACAGCAAGGTCCACGGTACAAACTCACCAGCTGCTTCTCGGAAGCCCTACACAGGGTTGCTGTGGGTCGGAACCAACTCAACGGCACTTAACAACAGCAACACAGAATACGTTTGGAGTCCTGGTGACGCACTGTAGGTTAATGTGCTGGACTTCAAGTTCAGCTTGAACAGCAAGGTCAGTGGTTCAAACTCACCAGTTGCTTCTTGGAAACCCTGTACAGGGTCTCTACGTCTCTGTGGGTTGGGACCAACTCGATGGCATGTTAACAATAAGAGCAATAGAATATATTTAAACATGGGCTCTTCTTCCCTCTGGTGTCCTGGTGTGGTGCTGTAGGATAAGCACTGGACCTCAAGGTTGACTTGAACCGTAAAGTCGGCAGTTCAAACTCACCAGCTGCTCCTTGGAATGCCTATACAGGGTCGCTAAGAGTAAGAACCAACTCTACAGCACTTCACACAACAACTGCCCTCTAACACATCTCTTAACTGCTTCATCCAAGAATGCTAATGGGGGCGAAAAGTAGCTAGGTTAAAAGTAGTTAGTGACCCAAAACGGGTGCTACGAAGACAAGAAGTGATTGGCTTACAAGCTTTCAAGAGGGAGCCTAGTTCCAGAGGGTGCGGGGGAAGGTAGACTGTCCACTGAGTGGTTTCCAACCTGTCTGGACGGGGCTGGTGAAAGGGGATGGGGATAAGACTCTTGTGGTTCAACAGTGAATAATGGTTGTCAGGATTAACTGTGAGGGTTGGAAAGGTCAAGGTAGAAGTTTTGTAGCAAAAAGGAGGGGAGTGATTGACTTTGAAGTCCAGGAGCAGAAATCCCTGGGACCATCAAGGGAGAAGAGTGGAGAGCGGAACCCTATCCAGAGAAATAGTGATGCCAGGGATGGAGGCAGAGATGATGACATGGAGAGATGGAGCAACTGGGTACTCTGGACTCAGGGAGGGAGAGGGGCTGTGTGCTGACAGCTTGGCGGACAGGCTTACGGAGTGTACCATTTGGTTGTTTGAGGATGCATGGAGGAGATTGTAATCATTGCAATGAAATGAAATAAAATAGGATGAATGTAAAGCTAATGTTCTCACATGTAAATGATCACATAATTGACAATAAAAGTTTAAAAAAGTGGTTAGCAACTGAGTTGGGATTCATACCCTAGGACTGTCTCGAGACCCCAGTACCCTGCCAGTGAAATTTTTTTCTCCCAATCCACAACCCCTTGAGGGGGCTACTGACTTCTGAAGGGCACTTTCTTCCTTTTTGCTGTGTCTGAGTTTGTGATGAACGAGGATTATAGAGATGAAAGCTGAGCTTTCTAAACAAAGGCTGGCCTTCTCCTGAGGCGGCACATGCCTGGTGTCAGGAGGCTCATGGATCCACAGGAAAAACCTAGGTCTCGGTCCCTTGACTGACATTCTCCATTTTGTGTAAATATTTTTCCTTACTACAACTGTTATATGACACCGGGACATAGATAAATGAATATTAAAAATAGATTACATCGCACAACACAAAATCTCACCAACATTGAAAGTCATGCTTTCTCTGTGGCCGACTCCAGTTTGGTTTGTACGCTAGGTCCCTGTGCTTGGGGAGGGTGTGCATTTGCATTGACCAGCTAAACTGCAAGGTCAACTGTTCAAATCCATCAGTGACTCTAAAGGAGAGAGAGAAAGTTGTCTGCTCCCGTAAAATTTACAGTCTCGTAAACCCCACGGGGCAGTTCTACTCTGTCGTACAGGGTGGTTGTGAGACAAAGTCAATCTTGTGGCCGTGGGTTTATTTTTGTGTTTTGCCATAGGGTGGCACAAGCAGTTAAGCACTTGATTACCAACCACAAGGTTGGTGATTCAAACCCACCCAGAGAGAGACATTGCAGAAGAAACGCTTGGCAATAGACTTTCAGAAAGTCACAGCCTTGCAAGTCCTACAGCTCCACTGTGAGTCGGCATCCACTCCACAGCAGCTGGTTTTCTTCTTATTATTGCTATTATTGTTTTTTGTTTGCAAGGAGGCTGGTTTGTAAGTTGTATGCCTTTTGGTGTGGCTCCTCCCCAGGTCCGGGCGGAACTGCTCCGGGAGAGAGTGCAGCAGCTGGATAGCCAGAAACAAAGCTTTGCAGAGTCTGTCGTATCCCTGCAGTTCCAGAAGGCGGCCAAGAGCACCAAGACGCTGTCTGCCTACACCGCTCTCCTCAGCATCCAGGAGCTGCTTCTGGATGAGCTGAGCAAATCGGAGACCCTGACTAAGTCAGCCTGCGCCCAGATCCTGGGCTCTCACACCCCGGTGAGTGCAACTGGGGACAGTGAATCGGAGACCCTGACCAAGTTGGCCTGTGCCCCGATTATGGGCTCTCACACCCCGTTGAGTGTACACAGGGGGACAGTGAATCAGAGACCCTGACCAAGTTGGCCTGCGCCCAGCTGCTGGGCTCTCACACCCCGGTGAGTTCACACAGGGGGACAGTGAATCAGAGACCCTGACCAAGTTGGCCTGTGCCCCAATTATGGGCTCTCACACCCCGGTGAGGGCACACTGGGGGACAGCGAATCGGAGACCCTGACCAAGTCAGCCTGCGCCCAGATCCTGGGCTCTCACACCCCGGTGAGTGCACACTGGGGACAGTGAATCAGAGACCCTGACCAAGTCAGCCTGCGCCCAGATCCTGGGCTCTCACACCCCGGTGAGTGCACACAGGGGGACAGTGAATTAGAGACCCTGACCAAGTTGGCCTGTGCCCCGATTATGGGCTCTCACACCCCGGTGAGTGTACACAGGGGGACAGTGAATCAGAGACCCTGACCAAGTCAGCCTGCACCCAGCTGCTGGGCTCTCACACCC